CATCGTGATTTAGACTGCCCTAACTTCTCTGCACAAAGTGAATCAGGGAGTCCTGTGGTAAACAGATTGAGCCTAGGGAGTCTGAGCAAAGCAAGGCAACAGCAGACTGTAACTCTTACAGACCAACTAGAATATTTGCAGTGCTATTTGTAGGGTATCTTCAGGCTTAGATGTAATTAAATCCTAATCCTGTGTAGAAGTAATTTATCTGCATCTGGCATGTTAAAATGTGGGTGATGAGTTTATTCTTTAGGTTGTCCTCGACTTCCCAGCAGCTCTTTCAGGCTTGATGCCTTTTCTCAATGGCACTGATGCATCTTTCTTCCCTTCCAGGTGATTGACATCTCAATGATCCTTGCGGAGGCCATCAGGAGGACTCATAATGGGGAATCTGTTTCCTACCTATTCAGCCATGTCCCTTTATAACAACAGATGTCAGCTGCTGCTTGTATGGCTTTTTTTTTTTAAAACCAAAAGTTGTTCAGCTTGTTGTAAAGTTCAGTAGAAGACTCTGCTTGTTCCAGTGCAGTTCTCCACATCTCCTGCTTAAGTCAGTCTTACTGGCTCTGTTCCCAACACTGGGATGCTGGAGGGGGAAAGCTCATCTTTGTAACAGCAACTCCACCAGCACCCCATGCCTGGAGCTGATCAGTAGCACTGACTATTCTGCAGGTCTGTGGAGAGCAGGACTGACACATGGCTAATTGCCACAATTATTTTGAGGGGGGGAGGGAGAGGGTTTGTCTGTGGGCAGGGTTAGATGATCTGGCATGTGCACCCTAAATTGTTGGGGAAGTAGAGCTCCCTAGGACATGTTGATCTGGATCTACAGCAAGAGCCCAAGAGACTGCTGGCTGTCTTACCACTCTGTACCTGACAGAGCCCTTGGGGAGTGGTGGGGAAGGCTTGTGTCTTGGCCAAGCTTGACCCTTGCTGAAGCCCTGGGAGACACCATGGGGGTGGTTCTGCTACAGCTTTCTCCCATAAAAGGAGATCAGTGTAGCTTGCAGACTTGAATTCCTCTTAACTGTTGGTGAAATTAAATGCCCTTTAGTGCATTACACAGCACAGTGAGGGTGAGAGCAGAGTCTGTGCAGTGCTGAGTTAGCTTAGGGGGGAAGGTGCATCCTGGACAAGTGTTCTTTTCCGAAAGCTCTGACATACAGAACTTGTGGTGGTTGTGTGTTGTGGTTTCTAGTGCAGGCTAAAACCAGCTTCTCAATTTCACAGCTTCCTGTTAGCCTTGCTGGCTAACGAGAGCACTGCTGTCATGTGCTGCAGCTGCACCTTGACCTGCCGTGCAACCCCCTGACCCTTTTTTTACCAGTACAGTAGTAAACAGAGCCTCCATCCAACAGCAGCAAGTGCCTGCTCAGATGCTGGGGTGACCTGAAACACAACAGCTTTGTGTCCAGCTGGCTCAGCCTCTCACTCAATGCCTGTTACAGTCCTGTTATCCTGGAAGTTACTGACACATTGTCCTGCTCACTGTCTGCCTTTCCTTGAAAGCCTTGCTTCTTGCAAAATACATAAAGCCAAGGAGCACTGCAGGTTGCAGGACAACAAAACCTGAAGGAGCCCTTGGAGTGGGTCTGATGCTTGCCAGGAGTGTTTATGGCAATGGGTTGAAGAGGCTGGTGATATATGATACTAGCAGAACTGCAGATTTAACACCAACCTGACAGGCCACAAAGTGCCTGAAAGAAAAATACCAAAACTAGAGCTGGCTGAGGCTCTTGGATGTAATAAGTATCATCTGAAACTTGAATACTTTGAAAACGTACCAGACAATCGTAAGGTAAACTGCAAAGTCTCTCTTGAACTCTTACGGTTTATAGACCAAACTGTTTTATTCTGGTTTTGTTTTGGTTTGGGTTTTTTGTTTGTTTTTGTTTTTTTTTTTTTTAATAAGCACTCCCCCTTTATTTGTTTTTGAGCTGGAGGAAGGGAAAAAGGGAAAAGAAGGAACTTGAAATTACTTTCTAGAGTAACCAGCATGGCTTTGAGAGGCTGGGGGCTGGGGTATAAGTGAAAGATGGGGAACTAACTGAAAAATGAGGTTAAAATCTAGGGAAGTACTTCTTTAGTTGTGCCTTTTACTGAAGACTTCTCTCCCTTCCTAAACTCCTGTCCTGTGGCAACATTAACACTTCTATTAGTGTAGAGCTTTTCTTTTTGTATAAGAATTGGTGTTTGTCTGGAAACTGTGCATCTCTTGCTTCTTTGCTTTGCATCCTGCACTGAGCTCTCCTGAGAGTCTGTGATCCACCTCCTGTACGGGAGCCCCTGCTGCCATCCTGCTGCTGCTCTGAGGGCCCAAGGCCAGGACAGCAGAGCAGCGCTGGGAGGATTTTCAGCAGCATTTGTGTTTAAAGTTAAGACCTGATGAAGGAATTAAACTTTTATTTAAAAACCACGGCCTCTGCCTGTAAATACTCCTAAATATCTGAAGTGACATGAATCTTCTGAGTTGGGTCATTTTAAGGGTAGATCATGAAGTAGTTTTATTTAGAAGGGACCTTGGAAGGTCATCTGGTTTAACCCTTGTGCATGTGGCCAGCTGTGAGGTTCAGCTTGGCTCTGCTCATAATGCATGGAAGGAAAAGCATGGGACCAAGCACTGAGTAATTCCTTCTGTCCATGTTTGATTTCCTGGACTTAATTGTTAGAGGTGGTAATGCAGCTTCTCTAGTACTGTTCAATTATGCATCTGAGCAGATTTGTTCACATAATGTTCAGGTAGGGGAAGCTTGAATATTTTAACAAGTACAAATGAAGAATTTGTGAGTGTCTCGCACAAAGCTGATGATCAGAGACAGCAGGGTTATGTCCTGAGCAGCACTTGTTCTGACTAAGCCCTGATCCTTTCTCATTGTGTGTTGGAGATGGCAAAGTATGAAGTCAGAAGATGGCAGGTCTAGAGAAAGGTCCTTGGCATTACAAGTAGACCTCCAGACCTAGACTGAACCATGGCCTCAGTAAACATTTGCTGAGGATCGCAATTGTCATCCATCTGTTAAAATGTCTTGCAGTACTGGACAGTGAATAAGTGAAAAAAAAGTGGTTTTTCCCCCAAATAGCAGGGTAGGTGCTGGTTGTTGCCAGGATTATGTAGCAGAATTCACCTGGCTTTGATAAAAAAAACAGAACAGAGCTTTACAGCCATTTGAACACAGGAGACCATTGTTATTAGTGAGTATTTAATGTTTTCTTAGTTACTTTAATGAAACCAGGGTTTTGAACTGAGAGAGGGCACAGACTTAATATGCTGTGTGACACTGTAGCTCCTACAGAGGATGGGAGATATCTCCTTGGGAGAGTTCTCATACCCGTGTAAAGTTCACTGCTCTGAAACCCTCAGATCAGAAGGGATGGAGACTTCACCAAAGTCTGAAGGTGAGCTGTGGGGTGTCTTAGGCTTTCCTCACAGCTGCCTGAGATACTACTGTACAAAACAAATTATTTCCCAGGAGAAAATCTCAACTGAGTCATTGCTGTGCTCCTGCAGCTTGAGGTCTGGAGGAGCAGGGCAGGGCTCCAGCAGCTCCCTCTGCCACAGGCAGAGCCAGAGTGTGGCTGCAGGTGTGAGGATGCTGGTTTTGGTGCTGGTAGCCTCTCATGCCTGTCTGCTGCCTGCTGTTAATTCAGCAGAACAAGGAACACATCCATCACTAGTCCTGTCTCTGCCTCACCCACCTGCCTGGGTACCTGAAATGAATGCACGGGGCGGGGAGCTGGGCTTGCCAGGTGTGCCTTGCAGGTAGCAGGATGTGTCCACTGTTAAAAGCACAATGAGACACCCCTCAAAATCATTTGCTGGCACCTCCCTCTTGCCGTACTGATGTAAGGAGGTCTCCTGGAGTCGGTGTTTCTGTGATTTAAAGCAGCACCTTGTCTTGCTGCTGTTGGGCAGGGGGAAAATGGTGTTAGCAAGCCCTTTTGTGAACTGCAGCAACATCCACAGGAGCAATGAGCCCTCCTGTAAGACACAGCAGCCCCAGTGTGCTGCTGCCTTCCCCAGCATGTGCTGCTGCCCTGATGGATGTGAAGGGCTGTGGCAGGAGGCTGGGTGAAAATGGGAGAAGGTGCTGTCCCCCTGTGGAGTGGCTCAGGCTGGCAGCTGTCACGGTGGTGCCCTGCAGGCAGATGGGTCAGGAGGCTGAGAAAAACCTCTGATCCGAGAAAACTTCCTGCCTCCTTCCTGTAGAGGAGAATAAGGCATTCCTGGAAATGGCTATTGGGAGGCTCTATCAGCCCTGGCAGCCTTGTTCTGTGCGAGATTTAAAACCCATCTAAAATGGCTGGCAGGCAGTCTGTGCTATTTCAGGTCAGGGCTGTTTTTGCTTTCTCCCTATCTGTTGTCTCATTTCTTTTGTTATAAATTATTGAAAGCAGAAATGCCAAAAGACGTAAGAAAGAAGCTGGTTTTGCAGTTGCAGGAGGCTTTGCTAATTTGTCGGGGAAAAGCTCTTGCTGGGATATAAGCTCCTTTCTTGTTCTTTGTGCAAGATGGGTTTTAGCAGCTCCCCAGCAGCAGCCCCACCTCTCCCCTGCTGGCAGTGCACAGGGTTGGCTTGAAAGCTGCTCTGGCCGTGGTTTGTACGAGTCTGGTGGTGCCTGTGTGGCTTGAGGAAGGGGGAGCTCCCCTTCCCCTGCCTGCATGGCCACCGTGGTGGCTTTGTGCCCAGACAAAGACCCGGGGGTTCCAAAGTGCTGCAGCATCAGGAGGTGCAGCACACTGCCCAGGGGCTGTGCCTTGCTGCCGGGTACAGCTGGTCTGCTGAGGGATGGTGAGCAGGTTTTTGGGTGCAGCTGGTGCTGGCTGTGCACAGGCAGGGTGGGGATCAGGTTCTTTTGCACTCGCTGCCTGCCAGGGACAAAAGCTACGTCAGACTGCAGCATCCACAAAGGAGAAGCATGTGGAGAACAGGCAAGCAAAGGGGGAAGCTGAGGGGAAGGTGAGCACAGCCAGAGAGTAAACACATGGTAAAACGTTTGTCTGACTATTTGCATGAAGGCAAAAAGGATTTCCTGCATTCATTTTGAAACTGAATGGATGTGTTGGTTCTCGCTGGCTGTGCAGGAAAGATGAGCCTTTTCTCACTGGGGCTGGGCTGTGTGGTGCGAGCTCTGCAGGGTGGGTTTGAAGGATGCTCATGAAGGCAGCCCTGCCTGGGGCTGCACCATCAAATCTGAGCTGCTCTGGGAGCAGCCTGGCCCGGAGCTGTGCCTGCAGCCTCTCCCTCCCCCAGACACAGCAACGGGAGGCTGCTTCTCGTCCAGACTCCTCTTGGAGGAGCAACCTGGCCTTAGATCTTGGCCTTTGCCTCTTCAGCGCTTGCCAACTCTTGGCGTTTCTTGAATTCAGAGCCCGTGTTCTGGCAGGAGTGAGAAGGTGCCCCAGGGTTTGCGGCAAAGGGCCACCTCCAGCCGTGACCTGCTGTCGCTGGATAGCACCGGTCCCTCCTGCCAAGACGGCAGTCGTCTCGCTAAAGAACACAAAGCAAGTGTTCCCTCCGGATTGCTGGGGATTTTCTCTGCAAAATCTCCAATAAGCCCTGAGCAAAACCCAGAGGTTGGCAGGCCAGGAGGAGGTGGAGGTGAGAGCTGCTGTAGCACAGCTGCTACCCCTTGGTGCTGTGTAACCATCTTGCTGTTCACCGCGGCGCCAAGATCTCTGCAGAAGGGTTTTGCAAGCCTCATCTGCAGTCAGGATACTTTTTCTTTTGCCTCCTCCCCATCCCCTCATTCCCTTCAGCACCTACAGGACCCTCCTGGCCCTCTATCCCTCTCTATCCTGGTGGCCAGCATGCAAGTGCCCCCCAGACTGCCACTGTCCTTCCTGCTGGGATCAGATAGGCTGCCTGCACTGCCCCTTGGCTTTTTCCACCAAAAGTCTTTCTCCCACTTGCACACCAGCCCATCTGCACGGTTTGGGCTGCTCCCCAGGCTTGCTGCCGCCAAACAAGAGCCTGTGAGAATGGTCAGCTTCTTGTCCACCCAGGCTGCTTTAGTGACCAGACCTGCCCAGGAAGTGCTGTGGCCAGAGGCAGCGTAGACATGAGCAGGGCAGTGGTCAGGCAGCTCTCACAGGCGTGACAACAGGGTGCTGGCTTTAGCCCAAGGCTTGCTTTGTTCAGGGAGCATCGCTGCACACACACACGGGCCACAGCTGCCTCCCTTGCTGTGGGGCACCTGCTTCTTGGGGCGGGGTTGGGGCTGGGACAGTGGCTTTGGAGCCGTCTGGTCACAAAGGGACCGGCCTGCTGCCCCTCACACCTGGCACCCGGGAGCGGGCGGGAGCCATGCCCGTTCGTGGGGGCAGCAGGAGCTGTGTCCGCGCGGGCGAGGGGCTGTGTGACGCCTGTCCGTGAGGGCCGTGTGAGCCGTGTCCCCGGTGCCCCTCGCTCGGTGTCTCCCTCCCTCGCCGTCCCTCAGCCCCTCACGCTCGGTCCCGCTCGCGCCCCCTGGCGGGCCACGCGCTTCCCGGCGGGCGGGCAGCCAATGGGCGCGCGGGCTGGGCGGCGGCCGGGGTATAAAAGGCTCCGCCCCGCGCGGCGCGCGCTCCAGACTCACCTGGCGGCGCAGGGAGCGGGATCGGCACCGGCACCGAGCGCACATCGCAGCCACCGCGCATCGCGCCCCACAGCGCCGCAGGTACGGGCTGGGCCGCGGAGGGGGGCCCCGCGCAGCGCCGCTGCGAGCAGGGACTCGCCGAGGCGCGGCGCTGCGCTATTGTCCGCGGCGGGGGCCGGGGGCGGCCGCGGCCGCCTTTGTCTTCCCGTCCCCATCCTCGGCTGACTGCGGCGGGGGTCTCGCAGGCAAAATGTGCGACAAACCAGACCTGTCGGAGGTGGAGAAATTCGACAAGAAGAAGCTGAAGAAAACCAACACGGAGGAGAAGAACACGCTGCCCTCCAAGGAGAGTGAGTGCGGGGCCGGGGCTGGCGGGGCGGGAGGCACGGGCAGTGCCCGCGGGGCCGGGCTCACCGCCGGGCACAGGGGCGCTTTGGGGCGGCGGGGCTCTGGCCCGGGAAAGCCACGGGCACAGGTGTGTGCAGCCCGGGGCAGCGGGCACGGGCACTCGGACAGGGCTGTTGTGCCAAACTGATCCCTCGGGGCATCACTTTCCTGCGGACAGACGCAGACAGGTGCCCGACTTGCTGCCGTGCACACGTGTGGCATGTCATCTTCTAACCTGACTGTTAAACCACCCCATCTGGAAACAAAGCACAAAACTGGACACCAGGGCCTGAGTGAATCCTCTGAAACCTTCTCCAGTTCGTGCTTCCACAAAAAAAAAGGCACTAGAGACTAATGGGCCTCTATTCTCTTGCAGCTATTGAGCAGGAGAAGGAATGTGTGAAGTCTTCCTAGAGAGAGATTGCCTGGCAGGAAGAGCGACTACTCAATTATTTTGCTTTGAAATGAATCATGTGGGTTTTTTTAAATTTACATCACGTACATGTATAGAAAACAGCTGTATCACCTAACACACTGTCCCACTCTGCTGGCAGCTTTGGCAGGTGGGGGGACAAAGCGTGGTCCTCTCAGTCCATCCATAGCCTGACCTGATGCCATCTCTGCTGCTTCAGCTGCCTCCTGTGACAGCACTGATCTTGCTCTGATGCAGTGGGGAGATGAGCAAGGGCTGTGGAGGCTTCTGGGCATGGGCCCCTTCTGCCTGGGCGAGTGGGGAACCTTTCTGGCCTCACCTCCAGCCTGGGTCTGTCTTGCATATTCTTCACTGACAGTGTTCTGTAGCCTCACTCACAGTTTTTTGTCTTCCTTGGGGAAAAATGAGAAGTTTATTATAAAATAAAAAATTGTAATGATCTACCTATGGCTCATGGCTTCTTCCTTGACAAAGGTTCTGGCTGTAGCTTGGCTTGCCCTTGGAGGGTGGTGGGGAGGTGTGCCTGGTGCTGCAGCAGTGCTGGTGGTTCAGTGTTGCTCAGAGGGTGATGTGGGATGGTTCCCTGCAGGGTGAATCCAGCTTGGTGTTTGGGGCTCGGTTCCTGGGGGAGCTGGGAGCATTGCTGGCATGATCCACTGTGCTCCACCACCACTGTGCTTTCTTGGTGTATCTGAAAGCAGGGGGTCTTGCTGCCCATGTGAGGGCTGAGCCTTCTGCCTTGGAAAACTTGGTGTCCCCTGCCTCAAACCTTGTGGGGCTGGGCTGGTGCCTTGCCAGCATGGCTGGAGATGCTGGCCTAGGTGTGCTGGTGTGGTGGCCAGGCCAGCTCTGCCCACCCAGTTCCTGGAGCACAGCTCTCCCATCACTGCATGGCACTGCCTTTCTGTTCCCCTTGAGCCAACCTCCAGCCCTGCCCTTGACTGAAGGTGGTTTTTCAGCCCTGTAAGGATGGGTTTGAATGCAGTAAATCCCTTGGGTACTCTCTGGGCTGATCCCAGCCCTGCCTTGCAGGGGTGGAAATCCCTGGGTCCTGCAGTTGGCTGCCAGCACAGTGTGGGTGAGCTCTGACAGTGCCCCCAGGTTTATGCTGAGGCTTCCTGGCTACTGCCAGGACTTCCTCACCTCCACCTGGCCCGCAGGGTCACTGAACACACCAGCCCACTTATACAGGAGGTAGAGGTAGACTAGCCAAAACTTGCCAGCTGACAATTTTGGTCAGTGTTCCTGAGGAGCCTGGTCAGCTGGGGACAAACACGGGGCTGTTGTGCCTGTCTGGACATGGTGCCTATCTATCAGCCTGGTGCCTCCACCCACACTCCCTGCCAAGGACTGCAAATAACACTGCCTGTGTGGTTGCCACTGCCTCCACCCCTTAAAAAGCAGAACTGAAAGAGCTGCAGGTAAGAGTTTGGTGCTTGTGCACTGTCAGGGCAGTGTGGGGTTTTCCATGGGGTGGGGAGCAATGCAGAGGCCCAGCTGGAGCTGCTGCTCTGTTGGGCTGAGCACTGGGAAGGATGGCTGTGCCCCTTCAGCACCCTGACGTCCCCAGGACAGAACCCTATTCTGGACATGGGAATCTTTTCCCAGTGCCAGCAATCAGGGTGGTTTGTCGGGGTGACAATGTGTCCCTGCTCAGGGGTGGTTTTTCTCATGGAGCAGAGGCAGGCAGGTAAAGCCAGCCTGAACCTCTTCCCCATCCCTGAGAGCCAGAGGCTGAGTTGAACCAAGAGAAGCTTTTGGGACAGAAACACAAAGTGGCAGGGCTGATCTCCTCTCCTCGGTTCCACTTTTGGGGTAGGGAGGTCCCAGTGGCTGCCCAGAGCACCTTGGCTGCTGGCACCACCCCAGTGCCTCTCCCTAGGACATGCTGCAACGGGCCCCTCTGCGGGCATGGAAAAGCACCAGGGCACTTATCTCTCCCTGAGTCACATGGACGTCTGCAAGGCCACAGCAGGAGTGTCCCCTCCCTGGCACAAATAACAATAACTTCCCCCTCACCCTGTGCTGTGCACACAGGCAGCAGAGCCTGCCCGGGATTCTGGGCACCCCAGTCCTACAGAGCCAGCTGGTTTGCCAGCCGGGGCCAGGGCTGTGGGTTGCTCCACGTGGCAGGGTGGCTGGTGCCAGAAGCTGGCAGAGCTCCAGCACTGACCCTGAGCCTGTGGAAGTGGCCCCTGGCACCCCCATGCATCCTGGGGAGCCGTAGAGGTGTTGATGCATCTGGGTTTGGGCTGCTCTTTCACTGCAGCCAAGCCCAGCATGTAGCAATACAGATTTAGACATGGGGTTAAGTGCTGGCACAGCCAGGTCTGTGCCCCAAGGGAGTCACCCCAGGGGTTGGTAGTCCCAGCCTGGACCCAGGGCCATCAGCAGGAGCTGGGAGCAGCTCCCCAGCAAATACATCTCTGTGTGTTTTATGGCCAGTGTCCTGTGTTCACCTAAAGTGAGGGCAGTCCAGGCACTTTCCCCAACCACATCCCTGCCAGAATGGTGCACAGAAAGTACCAGAACTCATTGCCTAAATGCCCTGTCCTCAAGACTGAGGGTAAAGAGTTACCTGTTTTGCTAACTGGTGTCCAAAATATCCCTGTTGCCAGCAGAGCATGAGCCAGTAAGGGGAGAACCATTACAGAAGAGCCTTTTCCATCAGCACTTTCGTTCCCTATCCCAGACCTTCACCTTTTCACCCTGGCACACATGGGCCCACAGCTGCCAGTGCTGCGGGAGGCCAGGACACCTGCCAGACTGATGTCCCCTAGAAATGTGGTGGCTTGAGCAGCATGAGGTGCCCCAGCAGGCACCCACACACAGAGGGTGACATTCTAGGAGTTGGGCCTTCCTGGCAGGGCTCTGTGACCCTTCCCTTGCTGGGCACCAGGTGAATCCCTCATGTCGGCCCCCCTTGGCAATGCCAGGAGAATATAATCCATGCCTCTCCCATCCAGGGCCCATCCTGCTGCTTTGGGGAGGTTTCCTCCCATGCTCAATGAGATGGTGAGCTGTGGCCTCACTGCAGAGGAGGGAGGAGGAGGCTGAGTCACCATCAGGAGGAATTTGGGCAAATACCTGGTGACCAGCAGCATGAGGTGAGTTCAGATCAGGGCTTGTGGCTGCGATGGGTGTCTGTCCCTGCCACTGCTCCATCTTCTCTGATTCAGGAGAGGATTTAGCCCAACACACACCTGTGCAGGATCACAACCCCATCTCTGGGGTGCCTGAGCCAGCCTGTGCATTGCCCTGTGCTGGGCTCCCCTGTGCCCCACGGCTCCCTGCCAGCCTGTGGCACCTTCCTGATGTCCCGCAGCACCACACTGGTTTGTAGCACAACTCACCCAGGGCAAGGGAGCCTTTTGCACTCCAGGGTTTTCCACTCGCCATCTGGCAGCTCCCAGAACTGCAGCAGAAAGTGGTGAGAGCCAAGATCAGTGATCAAGGCCTAAGGCAGCTCCTGGATGGCAGGAGATTGCCAACCTCAACCTGAACTGCGGATAGTCCAAGCAAACCTCCTTTAAGGTATGTGTTTGGCACCAGAGCAAACAGGATAAGGTGAAGCCAGGCTGTACAGACAGGTGAATGCTGCAGCTCCCCAATGGGTGGATCCTACCCACCCCCACCTCCCTGTTCCCTGCATCCCTGGGGAAAACATGTCACCACCTCTGTGTCACTTGGGTTGGCCTTTTCCTGCCATGTCTCTGCTGCCTGCACAGACACATTGCCAAGCACAGAGCTCAAACCACCCCATAGTGGCTGAGGTTGAGAGGGGAACAAGGGGCAGCAAGCATGAGCTGCCAGGGGAAACCTCTGCTGGGACTGCTTGGGGAGGATCTGTGCATGGCGATAGTTAAAGAGGAAAGCACGTGGCTGTAAAAGAGGAAGGCAGAAGAGAAGGAGCAATAGTGGGGAAATGAAAGTGGTGTGTGGGCTAGTGACCACAGTCCTTTGGCAAAGGAGTTGATGGTAGGCTACCATGGTGTGTGAGAGTTGTGTGTGATGGGGCCACCTGGGGACCTGGGAAGGATGGACAGACAAGCTGTCCCCATCCTGCGGTGGGGAGGAGCACTGTGCTGAAGAACTCCCATGGCCATGGGGAGGGAAAGCCACTGTCCCTTTGCACCCACAAAGGCACCCACACAGCGAGCCAGAAACCCTTGGACACCTGTGCTGGGAAACTGGCCTGTGGGCTGCACACACTCAGCACAACCCAACACCTTCCCAGCAGTGCAAAAGTTATTGCTGCTCTTGAAATAATACCCTGGAGGTCAGGTTTACCAGCAGGAGCTTACTCATCCCCTGCCAAGGAGGGCTCAGCATGAGTAGTGATGAGCCGGGAGCACGCAGAGCTTCCTGCCAGCACCTGGCTCTAGGCAAAGCCGGGCAGTCAGGCTCGGAGCGCCCCTGCCGCTCCCGCACTGGCGCTGCCCGCATCTGCCGGGGCTGCGGCGGCCCGAGGCGCGGCTGGGAGCGGCCGGGCTGGCGCCGGGGATTCGAGCCCTTCGGGGGCTCCCAGCCCGCTCCTGACAGGCAGTGCTGCTGCCTTCTGGCCCCCCAGCTGCATGGTGCAGATTCCCGCGGGCCCGAGGGGCCGTGCCGGGGCTGCGGCACCATGTGCTCCGGCGGGAGCGCGGCTCCGGTGTCCGCGGCAGCGCCCGCACTCGCGCCCGAGCCGGGCCAGCTGACGGGGCAGAGGAGCGCTTTATTTTAGGAAGCAGCTGGCTCACACAGGAGACATTGTTTAGCATCTTTCTTGCCTCTGGTGTTTTATTACAAAGGATTATGGCATGAAAAGCCATTTTGTTCCCCTGTTCCCAATGCAGAGCCCCCTCTCCATGATTTATTCCTCTCCACGGGCAACAGCTGGGGTATGACATCCCAGGAAGTGGAGGGGGAAGTAAGGTGGGGGCTCAAACCCGTGGCAGTGATGGCAGCAGGGATGCACCCAACGCCCAAGTCATGGCACAGCTGGCAGGAGTTTGCCAGGAGTGCCTGAGACCGCTCATACACCTTTATGATGTGAGGGGTGGGTAAGGAAATGTACCTCACTCTGGCCAGGGCACAGATCAGTGTCCTCTGCTGGGACGCTGCTATCCCCAAGCCTGTGTGCCCCCACATGCCTCCTGTGGCATCACAGCCCCAAACCTGCCTGGATGAGCCTGTATGGGAATCTCCTGCTGCCCACGGGGAACCTGGGGCCCGGCTGGGCACAGCATGGTACGAGCTCAGCACAGTGGGTGGGGTGCAGGGTGCAAACTGAGGGTCAGCTTGGGAATGTGATCATTTGCACTCCCCCCAGAATCACCTTCAGGCAGGACAGAGGCACCTCCAGAGCCGCAGCAGGAGAAGCTTCTCTCCTTCCCTCTGTCCATGCACTTTCCTTGCCAAGTAACAGCCAGGATACCATGTGCTCCCTGTCCCCCTCCTCTGC